GACATGAGGAATTGGGCTTACAGAAAGAAGAAAGTAAATTACATATATTGTATACTAAATCTAGTGTTAACTAAAAATAAATAGTATTATTTACGAATATACTTTGTTTAGATGCTATTATAACTCTAAGTAAGTTAGTAAGTAGTAAGTACTTGCCAATTGCAGTTACATTAACATTATGGTAGATTTTTCCAATTTAAAGAAGATACATTAAATTTTATTCTATTCAATAGAATTTTAATATTTTGTTTTATGATTATATAGTATGCATAATTAATAATGTAATTTATTACATCCCATTTCAAATCTTATACCAGAAAAAAATATATTTATCAAAACTCCTAATGAGAAATTCATAGGCAACTAAATATGCAGTATTGAGGTTATCACTTAAACAGAAAGTGTTTCAAGTGATAAGTATCAAATCAACGAAAATTATTACCTTTTCAAGTTTATTATTCACTGAATGTATTATAATCTTTATTCTATGCATATAGAACTCGTATTAAATAATTATAAATATTTAATAATATAATATCTTAAACTTACGACGTCCACAGTATTATTTATATTTTACTTTTTTTTTTTTTGCAAAAGCATACTTAACTAATTATTTGTTTATTTATGTACTTTTTAAATATATTATTTCATACATACATAAGTGTATGCACATCTTATTTTTTTCTAATTTGCTAGTTTGCTAATAATTCATTTTTATAAGATTATTGATTTTATTAAGTTAGGTATAACTTTTGTAAAATTAATACTGTTTAGTTCTCACATTTTTATAAAACATTTACAGTGTTAAACATATTTGAATAACATGTCCTCTGCAATATCTGGTAAAATGACAGACGATCTCGGGTCAGTCGCTGCATTGCGTGTAGCTCTCCAAACTTTGGCAGAACGCTGTGAAAGGCTACAATCTCGATTAGACAYAGTTGAAAAAGAAAATGTTACAATAAAAAGCCAATGTACATGTCAAACAGTCAAAAACAAATCTTCAGAAGTTAGCGTTCAAGAGTTATCCTGTAAAAAGCAACAGTTGGTCGAATATTTAAGAATTGTTACAAATGAAAATCGTACATTATGGACAAAATTGTCATCGTTAGATAATCCTGCAGTTCAATCAAATGATAAAATCAAGCCAAAGAATTCTCTAGCTATCATAAACAGCTATTTAAAATATAATGGTATGAGTTAACAGTTTTGTTTATCATCAGTATAATATTAAATAAGTACCTATGTAATAATTTGCATTTATTGATTCTTTTAGTTTCCAATGTAGTTTACTAGTTTATTCAAATATTTTATAGAATGATCTATTAAATATAACACATTTATAATTTCACAGTACAGACAAATTACAAAAATAAT